AGAGTCTCACTCTGTTGCCGGTAGAGTGCTGTGATGTCATCATAGTTCCCAGTGACCTGAAAATCTTGGGCTCAAGTGATCCTCTTGTCTCAACCTCCCAAGCAAATGGAACTACATGTGTGGGCCATGATGTGCGAGTGCTTATTTCCAAGCACCAAGATATCCTTAGGGGAATCCTTATGGAATATCCATGAGGAAACTGAGACAGTTTTTGTAGTCAGATGCATCTGTCCTTCCTTTGAGTTGTAGGTACCTCGTTAGATGCTAGTCCATATCTCCTGCCTTCACATTTTCAGGGAAAGTTCCAAAGGTGGAAGAATAGGTCACAAGATCCTCATAGGGTCACTGAATGTCATCTGGGCCCAGAGTTCCTCAGACTGCAAAAGAAGCTGAATAGATTAGGGCCAGGCAAGGTGGCTCATGCCTGTAACCCTAGCACTCTGGGAGGCCGATGCAGGTGGATTGCTTGAGCTCATGAGTTCAAGACCAGCCTGAACCAGAGTGAGACCCTGTCTCTAAAAATAGCCAGGCATTGTGGCAGGTGCCTGTAGTCCCAGCTACTTGGGAGGCTGAGGCAAGAAAATCACTTGAGCCCAAGAGTTTGAGGTTGCTGTGAGCTGTGATGCCATGGCATTCTACCAAGGGGGACAAAATGAGACTCTGTCTAAAAAAAAAAAGGAAGCTGAATAGATTGAATAGGATGGGAGAGGAAAAACAGAAGGAAAAGAAAAAGTGGCAGATTCCTATATATGGAAAGAAGAAAGAGTTTGGGACCAGATAGTGAATAGCTTACTCTCATGCTAAGGAGTTTGATTTTTTTTCTGTAAGTCCTCAAATGTCATCTCTTGAAATTTAATGTTTAGTGAGCTGGAATGAGGTTTTTCAGGATAAAATTAAACAATACTGGTCTCTTCCCAGTTTGAAGAAAAAGTAACTTAAAGGATAGATTAATTGAACCCATGTATTTTGCTTGAACTGCTAGCTGGGCAAGCAGATTTCAGAACAAGTGGAAAATGGAACTTAACAGAAATGAATTGGAAAGGACTAACTATCCTGATTCTTTCTATGAGTATGGGATTTATGGTTGTAATATTTATATTGCATTCATGTAGATTTGTTTTTTGCAAATGAAATTCCTCATTTGTGTGGTAGACTTAGATATCATTTCCTGGAGAGTGTACACCATAGGGAGAGGCAGTACATGCTATGGAGAGTATGTAGGATGAGGCTGGGTGGTACGTGTCATGGCTGAGAGCATAGGCCCTGGAGCCTAACAGATGTGGGTTCAAAACCTGGCTCTACCCTGTTAGAAGGTAAGTATGAAGCAAACCCCACTATGCCTTCATTTTTCATCTATTAAGCAATGGTAATATTACTGAATATTCATAGGGTTGTTACAGTGATTATGGACATGTGTATAATAAATGCTTACTAAGTGGCAGCTCTTAATATGTTTTCTAAAGAGCACTGTGACTTCCCAGTGTTCCATTAGAGATAGTTTGAGCACCACTATTGTGGTGAATGAAATCTTCTCAAAGAATTTTTAAGTCTGATTTGAGGGCATTGCTGAGAATTTGCGGAGATAACGTTTCTAGCACATAGTAGTACTTGGAAACTGTTGACTTTATGGAAAGTTTGGATCCTAGGGCTTTGTCTCCCCTTCCTATTCTCCCATGTTTTTCTTTCCCAGAATGGAGTACCCTTACACTGTGAGTGTCCAATATCTGATCATTTTGTTCCTTTACACAATGGCCATCTTCCCATCTCTGCTCCAGAGCTTGTGAGGGCTCTTTTGGGGAGAGTCTAAGAGAGCTGCTTCTCAGAGTCTACCTTCCTATCTAATCTCACCCTAAGGTTTTTGAACATTCCCACAGAGTTTTTTTCTGTCTTCTAAAGGGAATATGTTGATAGTTTTATCTTGCCATCTAGAGTAAATCTGCATTGTATTTATTTTTATTAATTTGCAGTAGTATATTTTGACATACATTTTTGTTTTATCTTTTCAGGTGCCATTTGGATAGTACTTTAGCGGCACAATGTACTCTGAGTGGAGGTCACTGCATTTGGTGATTCAGAATGATCAGGGCCATACCAGTGTGCTGCACAGCTATCCAGAGAGTGTTGGGCGAGAGGTGGCAAATGCTGTGGTCCGTCCTCTTGGGCAGGCGTTAGGTACCCCTTCAGTGGCTGGCAGTGAGAGTTTGTTAAAAACTGACAAAGAAGTAAGTGTTTCTTCATTTCATTCTATGGTATGAAAATGTGCATTTGTTAAGAATTTATAAACATTGTCTTTTTAATGGATTTCTGCCATTGTAGTGCATCTTCTCTCTTTTTTTTTTTAGGCCAGGGCTGGTTTTTTTGAACCCTCCACCTTTGGCATATGGGGCTGGCGCCCTACTCCTTTGAGCCACAGGCTCCGCCTGCATCTTCTCAATTTTGATCTATTTGAGTTGAGGGTACAGACTCAGAGTTTGTGGGGGTTTATAGGAATGGGTTATACACCGTTTTGCTGTTGGGACTTCTTACCAGCCATGCCCAGTTCTCCACTTGAGCTCAGTGTCTAGTCAGAGACTTTAGTGTCAGGCCCTTTCTCCTAAGCTCTAGGCACAGTCTTCTGATTTCCAATAGAGGTGTGTTTGGAAGGCCTCATTCCTATGTCAAGATGGCTCCTGTCTGAGGCCTATTTTATGTCAAGTCTTTTTACACATAATTAACTGAACTTCAGTTCTCCCATGTCTCTGCCTACCCTTGCCTGGCTTCCAGGTTTCAGAGTGTTGCAGAGCATCTCAGCCCTTCTGGCTGTGGGCCCAGGTAGGTGGGATTGTGTTTGCTGTTCTAAAGGTAGGGGCTCTTGGACCAGGTCTAGAATTGGTCCTTTGTTTGGGGGTCTAGGGGTCTGGGCTGCAGTTAAGTTGCCAGTGGGAAGTCATCAAAGAGTCCTGAAATGAGGTGCTACAGGAATTTTCTAGTATGAGTTTTGGCTAAGATGCAGGATTACAACTTGTGTTGAAGAAGCTCATGCAGCCTTTAGGTTTCATGTTTACTAAGACCTGTACCCTATTTCTCAGACCTTTGTTTTTTCTCTTTATTTTTTGGGTTCTCATGAAGGTGAGATTAGACTTAGATATAAGGTAATGCTCCTGCCTCAGCCATGGGTCACTGAAGGGTGAGGGCCCTCAGTCTGAGGAGCATTTTTCTCTCTTTAGAGAACCCTAGACTTGCCCCTAAGGACCAGCACTGGCCTTGGTGCTCGCCTCTTGGTGTGCCTGTAATCACTTGCCTTCTCCTGGGAAGAGATGGCACGTGGATAGACTGAGGTCTTCGGGTTCTGCTCTTGTTTATTCTCCTTTCCAGACCTCAAGAGGATATGAGAGAATAATCCTCGAATTTGCTATTCTCTAGAATTATAAAATTAAGCTACTGTGTGAAGATATCACCAAAGACCTCTCCTTTATCTTTCATCTAATAATTAGGGGCCTGCAACTTCTTTTAAAATACCTTCTCTTGGGTGGTTAAATGCAGCTATCCCCCTCCTCCAAATTTGTCACAGCTTCACTATGCTGTTACAGACTTTAACATTTACTAGCCTTAAACCTAAAGGTATTTTCTACCTTTAGCCTCTGTAGTTGTTTTTGAGCTTGACAAATTTAGTACGTGTATATGTTTTTAGACTCAACTTTGGTTTTAAGCTATTGAAGTCTTTTTTTTCTTCTTTCTTCTTTCTTTTTTTTCTTTTTGTTTGTGACAGAGTTTCTGTTGCCCTGGATAGAGTGTCGTGGCATCCTCATAGCTCATAGCAATCTCAAACTTTTGGGCTTGAGCAGTCCTCTTACTGCAGCCTCTTGAGTAGCTGGGACAATGCTGGGCTAGTTTTTCTATTTTCAGTAGCGATGGGGTCTTGTTCTTGCTCAGGCTGGTCTTTGACTCCTAAGTGCAAGGGATCCACCCACTTCGACTCCCAGAGTGCTAGAATTACAGGCCTGAGCCAACACACCTGGCCCTGTTGAAGTCTTTTTGAATCCTGAATTTTTAGCCCATAGGTTTGCCATCCATTTTATTTATTTATTTATTTAGACAGAGTCTCACTATGTCACCCCGTGTAGAGGACTGTGGCATCACAATTCATAGCAACCTCAAACTCCTGGGCTTAAGTGATTCTCTTGCCTCAGCCACCCCAAGTAGCTGGGACTCCAGGTGCCCGCCACAACGCCCAGCTATTTTTTGGTTGTAGTTATTGTTGTTTGGCAGGCCTGGGCTGGATTTGAACCTGCCAGCTCCAGTGTATGTGGCTGGTGCCCTAGATGCTGAGCTATAGGCACCGAGCCTACTTATTTCTTAAAAATATGAAACACTTCACAAATTTGTGTATCATCCTTGTACAGGAGCCATGCTAATCTTCTCTATATCATTCCAGTTTTAGTCATGGGCTGCCTAAGCAAGCAGTTGTCATCCTTTTTAGCTTTGTAATTTCTCCAGATGATCATGATGTATTTTTCTTTTAAGTTTAAATCTTAGCTATAATCCTAGCACTTTGGGAGGCCAAGGCAAAAGGATCTCTTGAGCCCAGGAGTTTGAGATTGCAGTGAGCTATGATGGTGCCACCACATTGTAGCCCAGGTAACAGAGCAAGACATTGTCTCAAAGAAAAATAAAATCTTTTTTTTTTTTTTTTTTTTGAGACAGCTGCCTCAAGCTGTCCCCCTGGGGAGAGCGCTGTGGCATCACAGCTCACAGCAACCTCCAACTCCTGTGCTCAAGTGAGTCTCCTGCCTCAGCCTTCCGAGCAGCTGGAATAGGCGCCTGCCACAATGCCCGGCTATTTTTTGGTTGCAGCCATCATTGTTGTTTGGCGGGCCCGAGCTGGATTCGAACCCGCCACCTTGGGTGTATGTGGCTGGTGCCTTAGCCACTTGAGCCACAGGCGCCGAGCCGGAAAAAAAAAAAAATCTTAATAGGGCCTTTAGCATTGCCACTGGGCACCTTTTTCCAAAATGATCTTGGTACATTAATCCAAATAATCTTGGTACATTACTGTGTCATGCAGTATTTTGACTAATAAATCTAGCCATTCTACTGTCCACTGGGCATATGTCTCTATCTTGTCCATAAAGATATCTGCATTTGTCCAGATTGCTTGCTGAAGCCCGGATACCTCTTTGCGAGGGAAGTCATTAATGGCATAGTGAGAATAGCTTAATGTTTCTAGCTTCCTTGTTGGAAGACCTGGGTTCCCATTTTCAGCTCTACCTTATATAAACCACTAACTTAGGCTAAATTGCTTAATCCTGCTAAACTTCAGTTTTCTTATGTATAAAGTAAGTACTATATAGTTTACCCTTTTTACATGGGGTTATTGTGATAGTTAGATGATATTTATGAAAGTGCTTCATAAAGCAAAAACTGTATATACAATTGTCAGCTCTCTAAATAGTAACCCTATTAATAAAGGAATGAAGCTTGTCCAGCATGATTTGATCTTTTTCAGCAAGCTGGTTCTCAGGGATTATGCTTCTGTTTTGTAAGTGTTCATTGATCATCTGCTTGTCTAAAATTTTTGTCTGGAATTTACTTAAACTTTTCAGTCCACAGTGTCTGGAATGTAGTTTCATCTTTTGTAAATTGGGCTATTTCTACTTCATCATAGTACTGTATTTTTTACTACTATACGTGGAGGTTCAGCAGTCTCTTAAGTTCTCTCAGCCCCTGGGATGTGATTCAGATGGGTCAGGAGGCTGGAACTCCTTTAGTGTAGCTAAGTGCCTTGTTAAGATCTTACTTAGCGTCAGTCCCTTCTTAACCTGTGTTTATTCTTCATTTTAAGTATTATTTTCTTTGGCAGGGAAAACAAGTGTAAAGTAAAAGTTAAACAGTTCATCTTCCTTCCTATTGTTTATTTCTGTTGCATAACCTGGAGATGGAATGTAACTGAATTTATTATGTATTTTATTTCCTAAATGTCACACATACCCATATACAAATTAAATGGAGAAAACAATCTGAAATTATCTGCACCCCCCCAGTCTCTCTGGAAAATTGAAATGACTCTTTTTAGTTCACAGAGCAAATAACATAATGTCTAAGGGGTAAAAGCCAGCCTATGCTTTATATTTAAAAATAAGTAATTTATTGTCTTCTTAGATCTTTTGCTTGGGAAATGTTGCATGAGTCTGGTTGACATGTGAAAAGTGCATCCTCTAGAATAAATTTGACATGTACATTGAGATGAATATACTGTCAATTTAGAGATTTTTGATAATAAAAAAGGTTAACATTCTAAATCAGTCTACTGAGCTATAGATAGGAATGTATAATAATTCTCTATGGATGTTTTATTTTGTTTAGGTAAAATGGACTATGGAAGTAATTTGCTATGGGCTGACTCTTCCGTTGGATGGAGAGACTGTAAAATACTGTGTTGATGTATACACAGACTGGATTATGGCTTTAGTGTTGCCGAAAGATTCTATTCCATTGCCAGTTATTAAAGAACCTAATCTATATGTTCAAAGTATACTAAAACACCTGCAAAATCTTTTCGTACCAAGGTAAGCTATACCTGTCTGGCCCATTATTAGGATCATAGCAAAATATTCATAAATGTTATTATTTTGTAGGGTCTGATTTCATTGTTAGTCTTAACAGGGACTTTACTCATTCAATTAAAGAGTGTATTAATATGAATGATAGGAGAGATGATGAACTTATATAATTGTATGCTAAGAGTTTTTAATAGGTATATGTTCTTTTTTTTTTTTTTTTTTTTTTGGAGACAGAACCTCACTTTGTTACCCTTGGTAGAGTGCTGTGGTATCATAGTTCACAGTAACCTCTTGGGCTTAAGCGATCCTCTTACCTCAGTTTTTCATTTTTAGTAGAGATGGGGTTTTATGCTTGCTCAGGCTGGTCTTGAACTCCTGAGCTCAGGCTATCCACCCACCTTGGCCTCCCAGAGTTCTAGGATTATAGGCATGAGCCACCATGCCTGGCCTTATATGTTCATTTTATAGTTTTTTGGCCTAGCTTCTACAATCTGATAGCTGTTTGATATTAAAATACTATGACATCTTTTCCTTCTCAAAAAAACGTACTTTTGCCTATCATAATTTTTGCCTTAAGTAAAAGACAACCAGCCTTCTACCTTAAAATGAATCTTTCTCATAAGAGAATGGAGAAATTTGAAATTGTTATTAAATTTGTGGTAAGCCAAAAGAGTGCTCTTAATGGATTGTTAATGATTTTATTTCTTTCTTCTGAGGCAGGGGCCTTAATATCATAATGTAAGATTATCTGTCTTATTTGTGCTTAAATTTTATTTTCTGATTGTAAAAGAATTGCGTGTCATTGTAAAGATTTTGAGAAATATAGAAAAGAATGGGCTGGGTGCAGTGGCTTGTACCTGTAATCCTATCACTCTGAGAGGCTGAGGTGGATCACTTGAGCTGAGGAGTTTGAGACTAGCCTGAGCAAGAGCAAGACCCTGTCCCTTCTAAAAACAGAAAAATTGCTGAGTTTGGTGGTGGGCGCCAGTAGTCCCAACTACTTGGGAGGCTGAAGCAGGAGGATTGCTTGAGCTCAGAAGTTTGAGGTTGTTGTGAGTGAGGCTGATGCCAGGACAACAGAGCAAGATTCTGTCTCAAGAAAAAAGAAAAGAGTAGAGAAGAAAGCATTAGTTTCCTACCTGTTTGTGAAGATCTGTTTTTAGCCATGTTTTATGCCTGTGAAAGAGGCAGTGGGACTTGTCTCTTTTTGGAAAAGTTCTCGTTTTGGTCTGTCAGATGGGGAGGGATCTTGAAAACTAGCACTGTAAACTTTAACTTCCTGAATATAGAAGGACGATGACTTTGGAATCTCTGAATGAAAAAAAAGAAACCTCCATTAAGAAGTCTGGTTGTCAGTTTAGGTGTAAACAACTTACCTTGCTTGAAATGCCTGCTGTAATTTTGCCCCTAAAGAGTCTAGATGCTGCTAATTCTGCATGAACCCTGCTCTTTAGTCAGGCTCATAAATTAAACATTTTGCTGGGATTGACTTCTTGAAGATCTTTCCCATCATCATCTGTCTTCTCTTTTCTCCATCTCCGGGTTGTCCACAGTTCACTATTATTAGCCATCTTAAATTCTGCCTTGCAAGAAGTCTTACCTGACCACCCACCCAGACCCACAATGATCACACCTTCTCTAAACCCATATGGTACTTCCTGTATCACTTTTGTATCTCTTACTGTTTTATTGCTTATCTTTTAAAATGTATGTTTCCTGGCCAGGCACGGTGGTGCATGCCTGTAGTCCTAGCACTCTGAGGTGCCTAGGCCAGTAGATTGCTTGAGCTTAGGAGTTTGAGACCAGCCTGAGCAAGAGTGAGACACCTGTTTCTGCTAAAAGTAGAACAACCAACTGGGCATGGTGGCAGGCACCTGTAGTCCTAGTTACTTGGGAGGCTGAGGCAAGAGTATTGCTCAGGCCTAGGAGTTTGAGGTTGCTATGAGCTGTGACGCCACAGCACTCTACCAGGGCAGCAGAGTGAGACTCTGCTCAAAAAAAAAAAAAGTTTTCCTTTCCCCATCTAACCAACTTGAGAGCAGATACTGGGTTTCCATAGTACCTAGTATGGTACTTGTATTACTAAAGATGGGAATTAAGTGCTTGTTGCTTATATTTATTGATTTTAAATAGAAATAATAGGAAATGTTTGGCAGTATTAGCATGTTGTTTATAGGTAAGCAAGTTCTTTTGTAATGGTATAATAGCTTTAAAGCTTTCTTGTCATCCCATTTAGACTAATTTTTAGGGTTTTTTCTTTTTGCTTAGGACAGTCTTATGAGTGGTATGGTCACTATGTCTCTTTCCCCATTGTACCCTATTACATCTCATTGCTCAGTTAATTTGTATTGATGAAAAAACCTAATGGCCAGGGTGGGGCCTGTGGCTCAAAGGAGTAGGACACTGGCCTCATATACCGGAGGTGCAGGTTCAAACCCGGCCCCAGTCAAAAACTGCAAAAAAGAAAAAAGAAAACCTAATAGCCTTTGAGTTAACTAGGCTTTTGCTTTTACTTTTATCTTTTGCAAAACATGACTATCATATAAATTGTTTGTTCTACTCTTTGATAATTAGCTTGTTTTCTCCAAAGTGTATATTTATATGGGTTAGTAAATTTTGAGAGGGTATAGAACTTGCCCAGTAATGTCTTAAGAAGATTTGCTGAATATTTTCAATGTTAAGTATTGGTGTTATGATCTTATCTCCAGTTATTTGAAATTGCAGTTATTCATTTTTTTCAACTAAGTTTACTTATTTAGTTGGTTTTCTAAGAAGTAATGCTCAAAATAGAGGAAACTACCTTTACCATTTTAAATCTAGAGATTAAGTCAGAGTAGATGTAACCTTTTTCTTTTTAGAGACAGGGTCTTGCTTTGTCACCCTCAGTAGAGTGCTGTGGTGTCATAGCTCACAGCAACCTCCAGTTCTTAGGCTTAGGCGATTCTCTTGCCTCAGCTTCTCAAGTAGCTGGGACTACACAATGCCTGGCTATTTTTTGTTGTTGTTGTTGTTGCAGTTTGGCCGGGACTGGGGTTGAACCCGCCACCCTCGGTATATGGGGCCAGCGCCCTACTCACTGAGCCACAGGCACTGCCCAGATGTAACCTTTTTCTTTTGCCCATCAGTTTGATTTTTTTCATAATTGAGTGAATAGTGAACCATTTTTTTAAAAATTAAGATTTTAATTGTTCAAATATATAGTACTTTGAAAAAACATATTGTTCTAAATCAGCAATTGGTAAACTTTTTATGTAAAGAGCCAGATATTTAGTATTTTGGGCTTTATGGGCAATATGGTGTCACAGTTACTCAGCTCTGCTGGTATGGCATCAAAGCTGCCAGCTATAGACAGTATGTAAATGAATGAACATGACTATGTTCCAATAAAACGTTACTTACACAGATGGCAGGCCAGACTTGACATATTGGCCATAGTTCACCAGCCTTTGTTTTAAAGTAGTTTTTCTTAAGATCACAAGTTACTCTTTAAAAAAATTGGGGGGAAAGGAAAATCTCTGATATTTAGACTTTTCCTGTTTATTTTTATGTAAAGGTTACCTTATTTCTCTTAGCTTTAGAAACTTGGACCCTTCTCCTGAATTTAGGCCTTCTGAGTGAGGAGGATCCTCAGCATCCAAGGAGCAGGTATTTCCTTTCCTGCCACTGGGCAGGTACCTGGAAATTGTGGGTAGGCCTAGGTTACCATGTGGGAGCAAACAGTGTTACTGCCAGCTTGGAAGAGTGCCAGTTCCAGGGCCACTAATGGTATTTTTATTTTTTATTCTGGGCTTTCTCTTATATGCCTAATTGAAGTTTGGGGCTATTATGTAGCTTATTTTCTTTCAAGTAAATCAGAGCAACAGACACAAAACTGAACCTCACAGTTTTCTGCAGACTAGATTCACCTTTAACTAAATGTGGAACATCTTCCTGTTCTTGAAGGTGCTTGGTTTTTCCTAGGCAATTATTTTATCATTTTTCTTTAGGTCTGACTTCTTTAGGGAAAACTTTAGTAGTGTCATTTACTTGCAACTTTAGGGTAAGTGTCCAGTTTTCTGGGTCATACCCTAGAATCTGAGAATCTCTATTCTAAGATTGGGGTGAGGGTTCTAAGGTCAATCTCTTCATTTTCTGGAATTTCTTGAGAAGGCTCTAAGACTCCTTACTCTGATTTAGGCAGGTTTCTATTAGTTGTGACAAATTACAATGTATAGAAACTGGGCTTAAAGATTTATTTTAATAACATTGGGTACTTGTCTGAGGTTTCACCTAAGAAGTCTGGAGGCCATCTCACCGTTTGCTAATATAGTGAGTTTTCCACTATTCTCAAAATAGTCAGTGGTTCATTTCATCTTCCTCTTCAATCCTAGCCACAATGCTTTGATCTATTTGATAGATTGCCCTTCTTTATGAGATTTCCCTTTGAAAAAAAATGGTCTTGTAGACTAAAGAGAGTTTTGAAACTAGCAGGGGTATCCAACTGTGGCCCACAGATGGCTTTGAATGTTTATTGAAGAGTTCGTGTTGGGCCACATATTAAATACACAAACACTAATGAAAGCTGATGAACAAAAAAGGTCCATGCATAATTTTCGTGATACCTACCACCACAGATAAGCATTCATATCTAGCCATGGGCTGTGGTTGCACATCCCTGTGGGTATCTTGGGAACCTTTGGAGCACACATGTTTGGTTATGTTGCCTTTTTTATTAGAGCAGCAGAGGGAGATACTCATTTCTGAGGCAATACCTACCTGCCTCTTCAATCTTGGAGACTTGTTAGGCTATCCCATTGAGCCAGTAGGCTCTTGTTTAGCAGAATTTGCTTTGGGGAAATATGAGCTTTGTGAAATCACATGCAGAATTCTTGTGAATGTATGTTTAACAAAACTTCAAAAGAAGCCATTCAAGTTCAGAGCAGGTGGGGTAGCTATACGTGTTTACTCATTCAGCAGACACCCGTTGAGTGCCTGCTGTTATATGTTAGGCACATTTTAGACATAGAAACTCCAAAAGTGAAGTTCACGTCTAGTATTCCTTCTTTTCTCCCAGAAGCTTTCCACATTCTCAGGAATGCTAGGTTGACATCTGAGAGTGCCAAAGAAGTAGCTGTAGAGTGAAGTGGGTGTGTCTAGCTCTCTCTGCTGACACTGTTAGGGAACTTCTCAGACCACTGCTTGCTGCATCCTAAATCACCTGTCTTTAAGCTGTTGCTATCTCTTCTCCAGGTTTGTTACTGATATCTGTCTATCTGTCTTCTTCAGACAGGAACAGGGTTCCAGTCAGATCCGACTATGCTTACAGGTCCTGAGAGCCATTCAGAAACTGGCCCGTGAGTCATCTATCATGGCCCGAGAAACCTGGGAAGTCTTACTGTTGTTTCTTCTGCAGATTAATGACATACTTCTGGCCCCGCCAACTGTTCAAGGTTTGTTTATTTTTCTAATTTATTTCTGAGCTTCAAATATAGTTCATCTTTCAACTCAATGATAGAGTGATTGGGGATTTAAAATTTGACATGACAGTTTACAAGCCAAGGTTAATAATTTTTAGAATGGAAACCTTCAAAAGCTATAAACCCTCAATATAACTACAGCACCAATGAACTTATTTTACTAAACTAAGTCATGATTTTGTTAATGTAGGAAGGAGCTGAGTGAATTATGCATGTTTGATAATGACAGGAACTGTAGCCCATTTAGTATATTAGCATAGAGCCTGTATAAGAAACAACTAATTAAATTAGAGCCTATGGATAATACACCTCATTACAAAGTAGTTATTAAAGTAGGATCTGAAAACTTGATAGTGATGGGACGTATTTCACTCAGCAAAAGAAGTTCACTCTAAAGTCTTTATGTGGTCTATTTGGAAATATACCAGTGTAACATTCATTAGCTAGTCATTAAGAAGCTTTCAGTTTTATAAGAAGCCCTGCTTTGTGTGTTATAGCACAGTGTACAGGAGCTACAGGTTGATCATGTAGTTGTAAGTTCCCTTGTTTATTCATTCATCTGTGTACTCTCTCTACTGACACTCTTACTGAGTGCAGTGTCCAGAATTTTAGTGTGAGAAGGAACCCCATAATAGGAGTAGTCTGTCTGGTTTTGACAGTAGCTGGCCATTGATTAATTGGCTTTTTGCTACTCACTCCTCATTCCAGGGATCTCAACAGCATGAGGTAGGCAGTACATCCCCTTCTGGAGTTCTTTGTTGTTGAAACTTTGATTGTACTCATTTGAAACACATGTCCTTACAACTTTTCCTACTAGTTCCAACTTTGCCTTCTGGAACTATGAAGGGTAAAGACCACTGCTGTTGTTCCTCCTGGTTCCAGGGCTTGTAACAGAGGAAAGGCTCTGTTTTCGTGGTTAAGTCTCTGTCCTGCCCAGTACCAGTCCGTCTGCTCCTGTATTTGTCTCTGTCTTTCCCTTGAAGGGTGGCTTTTAAAAACACCTGGAGCATTTTATGGCATAGTTTGGTGGTAGAAAGACCTGGATGTTTGTTTTGATTCCTGCTGGCTACGTGAACCTGCCCATACTGCAGAATTAAGAGGATTATGTGAGGTCATATGTGTGAACTACTTGGCACAGAAAATAGTCACTCACTCATCACAGGCACTCATCCTTTTCCTTCTCTCCTGGTTGCCTCTGTCCTCTTGCTTGGAAGTTGAAGATCTTCAGTAAAAGCTGAGCAGGACCATTTGAAAACTTTCAAAGTAATAATTTGTTGATGTATCCATGATTTTCTTCTCAGGAACTACTAAGAATCACTTTTCTTTTTTACTATTAAGTGATTATTTCAAAGTCAAAACTTAACATTGCAGTTATTTTAATTTTTTCTACCTCTCCTAACTCAGTGAATTAAAGATTCTATTTTTAAAATAAGTTTGCCAAAGATATATTTTCTTTTTATTGGAAAGGTGGCATTGCTGAGAATCTAGCAGAGAAGTTGATTGGTGTTCTCTTTGAGGTGTGGTTACTAGCGTGTACTCGGTGCTTCCCAACACCTCCGTACTGGAAAACAGCCAAGGAAATGGTGGCTAACTGGAGGCACCACCCGGCAGTGGTGGAGCAGTGGAGCAAAGTCATCTGTGCTCTCACTTCCAGGTAGGTTGTCATCATTGACTTGCCTGCCTTCACCTGACTAACCTTAAGAACTGTTCCCTGGTTTTGTGTCTTTCTGGGATTCATGAAATATATTATAAAAAGCCTAGGTCTGTTATTACTACACTTTAGATATAGAATTAAGCTACTTTAAAAAAATAGAGAAATAGGCTGGGGTGGCTTATGCCTATAATTCTAGCACTCTGGGAGGCCAAGGTGGGTGGACCACCCTGAGCAAGAGTAAGACCCCCCCTCTCTACTAAAAATAGTAAGACTATCTGGGTGTTTTGGCGGGCACCTGTGGTCCCAGCTATGTGGGGAGACTGAGGCAAGAGAATCGCTAGAGCCCAAGAGTTTGAGGTTGCTGTCAGCTGTTATGCCATAACACTCTACTCAGGGCAACAGAGTAAGACTCTCTCTGAAAAACAAACAAAACAAACAACAACAACAACAACAAAAAAAAAACAGTGAAAAAAATATTAAAAAGTAGATGAAATGGTTTAGCTAATGCCTTGTCTAAAATCTTTCAGAATAATCAAGTGTTTTTGAGAAGCAGATTCTATACCCTACTGCCCCCAAAAATCTCACTTTTACTTTTGATTGTTGAAATATGTATGATCATTATTTTAAAAAAACAAGCCACAGAAAGGTATAACAGAAAAAGTTAAGTTTTAAGAAATCCTGCACGTGCGCTCTCCCTCTCTATATTTACATAAATGAGATCGTGTTATCTATGCTACTTTATAGCCAAAGGCAGTTTTTTATAATAATAATTGTACTTTTTAAAAATCATTTATGTATAAGATCACTATTCACTATTCTATGAGTAACCTGTTTGGTACATTTTTTTCAGACCTGTTTTTCATTTCAACCCTACATATTTTAATATATAGGCATACCTCTTTTTATTATACTCTATTATATTGTGTGTTTTACAAATTGAAAGCTTGTGGCAGCCCTACCTCAAGCGAGTCTACTGGTGCCATTTTTATAATAGCATGTATTCACTTTTGTGTCTCTGTATTACATTTTGGTGATTCTTGCATTTTTCATACTTTTTCATTATGATTATATCTGTTACAGTGATCTGTGATCTTTGATATTACCAATGTAATTGTTTTGGAGTGTCCTGAATCACTCCCATGTAAAACAGTGAACTTAATTGATTAGTCTTATATGTCTTCTGACTGCTCAACAGCTAGTGGTTTGCCTATCTCCCTCTTCTAGGGCCTCCTGAATCCCTGAGACACAATGATGTTGGAATTAGTCCGATTAAGAACCTTACAGTGGCCTCTAAGTATTCAAGTAAAGTGAAGAATTGCATGTCTCTCACTTTAAATCAAAAGCTCAAAATGATTAAGCTTTGTGAGGAATGTGTGTGAAAAGTTGAGGTAGGCTGGAAGCTAGGCCTACAGCACCAGTCAAATGTGAGTGCAAATGAAAAGTTCTTCAAGAAAATTAAAAATGCCACTCTAGTGTACACAGGAAAGTCAAACAGCCTTATTAGTAATATGGAAAAAGTTTGGTCTAGATAGAAGATCCAATCCGCTACAGTGTCCCTGAAGCCATGACCTTAAGTCACTCTTCAATTCTGTGATGGCTGAGAGGTGAAGCTGCACAAGAAGAGTTTGAAGCTAGCAGAGGATGGTTCATGAGGTTTAAGGAGAGAAGCTGTCTCCTTAACATGAAAGTGTAAGGTGTGAAGTATCAAGTGCTTATGTGGAAGTTGTAGCAAGTTATCCAGAAGATTTAGCTAAGAATATTGATGAAAGGCTTGGCCCCTGTGGTTCAATCAGCTAAGGTGCCAGCTGCATACACCTGAGCTGGCCGGTTCAAATCCAGCCCGGGCTTGGCAAACAACAATGACAACTGCAACCAAAAAAAAAAAAAAAATAGCTGGGCCTTGTGGCGGGTGCCTATATGGGAGGCAGAGGCAGGAGAATTGCTTGAGCCCAGGAGTTGGGGGTTGCTGTGAGCTGTGATGCCAGCATTCTACCCAGGGCAACAGCTTGAGGCTCTGTCTAAAAAAAAGGAATATTGATGAAAGTGGCTTCACTGAACAACCAATTTTTAGTATAGATGAGACATCCTCTATTGGAAAAAGATGACATCTAGGATTTTTATAGCTAGAGAGATGTCAGTACCTTGCTTCAGAGGACAGGCTGACTCTTTTAGGGGCCAATGCAGCTGGTAATTAAGTTGAAGTCAATGCTCATTTACCCATTTTGAAAATCAGAAAATCACCCTTCAGAATTGCTAAATCTTCTCTGCCTGTGCTCTGTAAATGGAAGACCAAAGCCTTGACAACAGAATGTCTGTTTACAGCATGTTTGCTGAGTATTTTAAGCCCACTGTTGAGACCTTCTGCTTAAAAAAAGATCCCTTTCAAAATATTCCTGTTCATTGACAGTCTATCCAGTCACCCAAGAGTTCTAATGGTGATATACAAGATGAATGTTTTCATAGGTGCTAATAGACATCCATTTTCCAGCCCATAGAGCAAAGAGTAATTTTGACTTTCAAGTTTTATCATCTAAGAAATATAGTTGGCCCTTGAATAACATGGATTTGAACTGTATGGGTTCATTTATTCTTGGATTTTTTTCAATAAATATATTGGAAAAATGTTTGGAGATTTGCAGCTATTTGAAAAACTTGCAGATAAACTGTGTAGCCTAGAAATACTGAAAAAATTAAGAAAAAGGTACGTCGTCAATGCATAAAATAGATATAGATACTATTATACACAAATCTATTATACAAAGTTAAAATTTATTAAAACGTATGCACTAAATAAAAGTTTAAATTTATTAAAACAGACTGTACATGGCACCATTTGCAGTTATGCAATGTAAACAACATGTAAAGAAATATAAACAAAGATGTAGTATTAAATCATAACTGCTCAAAATTAACTACAGTACATGCTGTACTACTGTAATAATTTCGTAGCCACCTCCTGTTGCTGTTTCAGGGAGCTCAAATGTAGCCGATAGTTGCTTAAAATGCCATGTGATGCTAATTATCTCAGTGTGAACAATTCATCTCTCTAGTAAATTGCGTATCATGGTAAAAAAGCGATCTTTGTGGTTTGGGGGTATTTTTCTTTGTGTTAGTGCAATAAACCTTGAATCAGTAACACTATAGGATCCATATGAAGTGCCACTAGTGATGCTGAAAGCAAATTCATGACATTACAAGAAAAAGTTGAATTGCTTGATATGCATGATAGATTGAGGTCTGCAGCTGCAGTTACCTGTCATTTCAGACAGATGATTCATCTTGTAAACAGATGATTTAAACTTATGGTATCAATAAATATAGTACTGTAAATATATTTTCTTTTTCTTATGACTTGCAGTAGCTATTCACAGGTGTGATCATAGTGTACTGCAGCCTTGAACTCCTGGGCTGAAGACATCCTCTTGCTTCAGCCTCCCAAGTAGCTGAGCATATAGGCATATGTCACCACACCTGGCATTTCCTTATGATTTTCTTAAGAACATTTTCTTTTCCCTAGCTTATTATATTATAAGAATGTAGGGTGTATTTTATATGTTTATATTAAGATACAAAATATATGTTAGTTGATTATGTTATAGATAAGGCTTCTGGTCAAAAGTAGGCTATTAGGGGCGGCGCCTGTGGCTCAGTGGGTAGGGCGCCGGCCCCATATGCCGAGAGTGGCGGGTTCAAACCCAGCCCCGGCCAAACTGCAACAAAAGAAATAGCTGGGCATTGTAGCGGATGCCTGTAGTCCCAGCTACTTGGGAGGCTGAGGCAAGAGAATAGCCTAAGCCCAAGGAGTTGGAGGTTGCCATGAATTGTGACATTATGGCACTCTACTGAGGGTTAATAAGTGAAACTCTGCCTCCAAAAAAAAAAAAAAGTAGGCTATTAGTAGTTAAGGGTTTAAGGAGTCAGAAGTTATATGTGCAGTTCTGACTTTGTAGAGGTTGACATACCTCATCCCCGTGTTGTTCAGGGATTAACTATACATTTTATGAGGCTATAACTGCTGTAGGTTGTGATTCCTCTGATGGATCTAGACAAAATAAATTGAAAACCTGGAAAGGAGTCATCATTCTAGATGCCATTAAGAATATTCATGACTCATGGGAAGAGGTCAGAATATCAATATTAACAGGAGTTTGGGTGTTAATGTTTGGATGACTTTAAGGGGTTCAAGATTTTAGTGGAAGAAATAACTGCTGATGTGGTGGAAGTAGCACGAGAATTAGAATTAGAAGTGGCACCTGAAGATGTGACTAAATTGCTGCAATCTCATAATAAAACAAATAGATAAGGAATTGTTAATTGCTTCTTATAGATGAGCAAACAAGTTTCTTGAGATGGAATCTACTCCTTTGTGCCATGGGTGCCGCCCAAGATTATTAGTAATCTTAATAGTTAAGATTTTTTCTTTTTTGCAGTTTTTGGCCAGGGCTGGGTTTGAACCTGCCACCTTCAGCATATGGGGCCAGTGCCTTACTCCTTTGAGCCACAGGCGCCGCCCAATAATTAAGATTATTTTTGAGAAAATTGACTTCAACTTTGGAGAAAGTTCTACTGTAGGTAAAATGCTATCAAACAGCATCACATGACACAGAAAAACTCATGAAAGGAAGAGTAAATTGATGTGACAAACCATGGTTATCTTATTTGAAGAAACTGCTATAGGCGGCTAAGGCGCCAGCCACATACACCTAAGCTGGCAGGTGTTCCAGTCCAGCCTGGGCCTGCCAAACAACAATGATGGCTGCAACTAAAAAATAGCCAGGCATTGTGGCAGGCACCTGTAGTCCCAGCTACTTGGGAGGCAGAAGCAGGAGAATCGCTTGAGCCCAGGAGTTGGCTGTTGCTGTGAGCTGTGATGCCATGGCACTCTACCCAGGGGGACAGCTGAGGCTCTGTCTCAAAAAAAAAAGAAAGGAAGAAACTGCTGCAGCCACCCCAACTTTCAGCAAGCACCTCCCTGATTAGTCAGTAGCTATCAACATCAAGGCAAGACCCTCCACTGGAAAAAAATGACAACTTGCTGAAGGCTCAGGTGATCCTTAGTATTTGTTAGCAATAAAGTATATATATTGATTGTTTTAAATGTTTGGTATAATTTATTGATCATCATCCAGTTCCTCCAAAAGGGTTCTTCTGCATTTTTCCAGCCCCCTTTTACTCAGTTCACTGCCAGCAGTATCCCAATTACCGAATCCTTTCCAGTCTTTTAGGTGACTTACGTTTTGATTCTGATCTAGTTCTTTTTTTTTTTTTTAACACATAGTGCTATTGCATACTAAATAAATTACAGTAATAGTGTAAAAGTAAGTTTAATATGTGCTGGGAAACCAAAAAAATTCATGTGCTTGCTTTGTTGTAGTATTTGGAACTTGAACCTGAATTATCTCCCACATATGCCTGTAAAATGCTAGATCTAGATAAGGAATCTTTTAATAACATGATTATAATACTCTTGCCACACCTAAAGATGTTCTTACATATCAACCGGTTAGTGTTCAAATTTCCCTGTATAGTCAGCCTTCTGTATTCATGGGTTTTACGTCCATGGATTCAACTAACCTGAGGTCAAGAATATTCAGAAAAAGAATTCCATTAAGTTCCAAAAAGAAAAACTTGAATTTGCTGTGTACTGACTACTGCATTGAATCCATATGAATATATGAATTTTATTAGCTGTTATAAATAACTTAGAGATGATTTGGAGTATATAGGAGTATGTGTGTAGGTTCCATTTTGTTTAAGGGACTTGAGCATCTGTGGATATTGGTACCTGAGGGATTTCCTACATGAATCCTCCACTACGAGGGACCTATAGGTTTCCACTTTTTTTTTTTTTTTTTT